AGAGAGAGAGGTGTGTGTGTGGCCAGCTCAGCCCACCAGGGGGCGGGGCTGACTGGCATGTGGTGCTGGGGGATTGAACCGCGGTCCCTGATGCTTTGGCCAAGCTTGTTCTAAGTAGGTGCCTTAGACCACTGAGCCATCTCTCCAGCCCTAATGCTTTCTTTTAAATGTATTTAGTACAGGGTCTACAGGGGTGCTTAATGCTTAATTCTTGCTTTTTAGTACCTTCCTCGTGCAGTCCAGTTAGGCACGAGCTGCACCAACCACAGAAGGTTGTGAGGGTGACTGGAGAGGTTGTTTATGCCCAGACAGAGTTCAGACATCTGAAAAAATGAAGAACACTTAGGGCTTTGCAGACAGGCCAGCAGGGTCCAGTCTATACCCGCCCTGCCCTATCAGAAGCATTGGTGGGGCATTCGTCACTGAAGCTGCACAGATTCCAGCACACGTCAAACATACAGGACAGACTCTGTTCTGTCTCAAATCATCAAGTTCCAAGTTTGTGTGCTCATTAGAATTTCATCAATACCAGCCTGCCAACGTGCAGGCAAAGGCTTCACAAGGTCATGTGCATTCCTGACTGGGACTCCCTTGCACTTAGGGATCCAATCCCGGTGTTTTGTTTATTTCCTTTTGGTTTTGAGAGGTCTCACTGCGTAGCCCAGTCTGGCCTCTAACATGCGTCGCCCCTCTGTCTCAGCTGGCGTGTGCTGACTGTGCTTAGCACAGCTGAGTTTCTAGCACCTACAATACTGTATGGTCCACAGCAAATTCCCAAGAAACACAGTGTTGCTGAACGAAAAGCTGCGGCTTAGGAAAGACTGTCACTAACTTAACAGTTCCAGCACAGCCCTTTCATTATTGCCTCTGTCACCAAAGACCTTAGCTGGGATGAGAATGACTTCAATTCTGTGCAAGTAGGAGATGGCTTGTGCTGTCCAGAAGCACAGGACCAAGGGCCTGAGTCATAGTTATTACCTTGGCATTCCAGTCTCTGATGTTTTTCATCAGGTTGATCAGAAGGCTTTGAAAGTCCACTAGCGGAATCTGTTTCAGCTGTTTTTCCAAACTCATTTTAAACAACATTAAGATCAGCAGCATTATTTCATGGTCTTGGTAACCTTCTGGATGTATCGATGTGCACAAGCCTAGGAACTTTTTGACAGAAATGCACAGACAAAGCAAGTTAAGAAGATACAGGTTGGGCTGGTGAGATGGCTCAGTGGTCTAAAGCACCTACTTCGAACAAGCTTAGCAAAGCACAGGGACCATGGTTCAATCCCCCAGCACCACATGCCAGCCAGCCCCGCCCCCCTGGTGGGCTGAGCTGCCCCCCCCATAAATAAAATTTTAAAAAATTATAAAAAAAAAAAAAGAAGATACAGGTTACTCTTAAGAATTTTAATTATGAAGTCTTTTTTTTTTTTTTTTTTTTTTTTTTTACAAAAGATACAAGTATCAGTTCCATGGAAAAGGCCAGAAATACTTATGCTAATAGTTGAATTAAATAGTACTGTTGTCAGTTTTACATTTTTAAGACTTTAATGGGTCACTATCATTGACTTGACTCAGGCACTAACAAATTCTTTTCATGCTTTTTCTTTTGAGGCAGGGTCTTGTTGTGCAGTCCAAGTCTTGAACTTCCTATGTAACCTAGGCTGCCTCTGCTCGAAGTGGTAATCTTCCGGCCTCAGCCTCCCACATGCTGGAATGACATGTGCACACCACACCCGGCACTGTTACTAGTTCTTGATCATGAAGTTATACTGTGAGCACTACTTCTGTTCTTCATATATGATAATTCTAAAATATTACTGGTTTCAAAATTACTTTTTTTTGTATTTAGGACAGGGTGTACAGGGTCTCACTGCGTAGATCAGACTCGTAGTGATCCTCCTGTTTATAGCCTCCCAAGTGCTGGGATTACAGGTGTGTGCCTGGCACAGCAGGCCAGGGGATCAAACTCCTGGCCCCTGCATCTGCCTAAGCAAGTGCTTTAATCCACTGAGCTATTTGGCCAGCCCTTCAAATCTACTTTAAGAACAAAACTCTGACCTGTATTTTTCCTCTCACTCCTAATATTAAAAATTAAAACAGCACGCTACCACGGCTGTGCTCACTACCCGCACCCGTGTCCTGGGATGCGCCGCCACCCTGCTGATAACTCTGACTCAGCTCAGGCTCGCTCTTCAGAACCAGCTTCTCCCTCACTCTTTCACTTTTTCAAATAAACTCTGTCACACAGAAGAAAACACAACAGCCTTTCATACAGATTACTGCTAAGAATGTCACCTGGTAAGACAATAAGTAAAGTCGCCTGGTAGAAAAGTAGTTAAAAACAAATAAACAAACAAACACAAACATTAACAAAACTAGCCAGGGAGAGAGCTTAACGGCATAAGTGCAAGGTCCTGAGTTCGATCCCCAGTACCAAAAACAAAACAAAACAACTCAACAAAACTAAATTATTCCATACCAAAGATAAATGAAGCTTTACCCTACCTTAACCACATTTAAAATATTGGTTTCAGGAAGAGTTGAAAAAATTGGTTTAGAAGCTGAATCTTCACTCTCTTTTTTTCCCAGCGTCATCTGTGTTTCAGAACTATTGAGAAGTAAAGCAGATGAAATTAGGCACAAAATCACTACTCACTTTAAGAAATAATGAATAACTGCTTTTTTAGGGGGTGATATCTGTGCAGAGGCATGAGGAGGCTGGAGGGGGAAGCCAGGGCCTCAAAGCCGTGCACACTTCACTGAGCTGCACTCGCCTTGTCTTTTTTGAAATGAACGCTATGTTGTTCAAGCTGGCCTTGAAATTTAAATGTTCCTGCCTCAGCTTTCTGCGTAGCTGGGATTAGGGGACTATACCACTATGCCCAGGTTAACAAATACTTTTAAGAAACTTTTACTGAAGAGTAATATATATATATATATATATATATATATGAAATGTGCCTGTTTTAAGTACTGGCAAATACATATTAATGTATCAATTATTCAAACCAAGAAATGTTTCCATCACCTCCCAGGTTCTGTGAGGTCAATCTGCAGCTACCCTAGCAGCAGACACCCCTGACCTCTGCCCCTGTGCACTCCCTTTCCTCTACAGTAGCTCCTCCTGGTCAGACACTGCCCTCAGTGTTCTTCGGGTGAGAGAGCTTCCCAGAAGGTGCCTGGTGGCAACTCCTAATGGCTAAAGGCCTCATAAGTGACCAAAAGAAACTGCCACAACAACAGAGATAATTTTTTTTTTTTTTTTTTTTTTTTTGTATTTGTAGGAAAGGGTCTACAGGGCATTCAGGGTCTCATTACTAGATCATAGTGAGCCTGCTTACAGGCTCCCAAGAGCTGGGAGTGACAGGCCCGCGCCACCACACCCAGTCTAACATAGATAATTCTAAGTAACCTAACTGTAGTTCAGGTTGTCAGTAAAACTTCATGAAAGAAAAGATGCATGGACTTGGTAAAAAAAGTTTATAAATTAGAAAAGAAGATTTATAGGGATGAAAAAACCAAAACATACCCGGGTGTGCTGTGAAAAGCTGCCCTCCCTGGCTGGCTAGCTGCTTCCTGCGGCTCCTTCAGCGCACACTTTCCTCGTTTACCAAACTGCCAGTCCAGTGGCTGTTCAGTCTTAGGACCTCAGTGCAGTGTTCCCATTTAGAACCTCCTCCTTTTTTGTTCTGTTCTGTATAGCTTCTGTTGTTTATAGAACCTCAATGCTTTTTTTTTTGTATAATACATCTTATATAATATAGTTTTATATTGTTACACATCATAGTACTGCATGTAAGTTATGAAAATAAAAGCAAAATGATCAAGCTGGAGTTGCTCTGACCATTTTTGTTCTGAATATTAAAATATACAATTCAAATTGAACATAAACTGGTAAATAAGAAATCAATGTATAAGAAACACATTTGGCTTTTGACCCTGCCCCAATTTCTGAGCAACAGGGATGTTAGCCACAGTAACACTCCTCTAGCCTTAATGACTCTGTGCAAACCAGGTGCCCCGAGACAGAAATCTAGTTGCAGAGTAACTGACTTGCAATTAACTGACGGGGGGT